TATAAATTTTGTATGTACACCCAAAATAACAACAACAACAAAAAAATGTATTTGTGTTCTCTTTCTCTTGTCCAATCCGGTAAACATATCCATAGTGCAACATCTTTGTCTGTTGCATTTACATAAGAGATGGAATCTTTAAAATGAATGCAAATCAGAAATTTGGCAGTGAAATTGATGTAACTGTTGCGCCGTGCGCCTGTATGGCGGATATTATATTCAAGGCGAGTGTTAAACTTTGCAGAAATACAGTTCCAAGGACAGGCGACTGGTTAACAGTCCTGGAGATGTGTGCGTCACCCACACAGCTCTTGTTTTCCAGAGCCTACCTGACAACACGAGGATGCTAATGCCATCTCACAGAGACGTAGAAAAAAAGAGAGGGTTACCATGGAACAGATGGATTTATGAAAGAGACGCACACACATAGTGCGCCTGCATACTAACTGACCCCGTCGCTCACACACACGGAATGAGATCCACGCTAATAAACATTCATGACACACAGGTATAGGGTGTAGCGCGCGGACGGCAGGAGTGGGGGCAGATGAGTAAACACTACCTGTTTGTTCTGTGTAATGGCTGAATGACTGGGGAAGTGAGAAGCAGGTGATGGTCCTCCTGGAACACTGAGCTCCATACAGTCCATTCAGGCTCCATGTGTCAGCCTTGGATTTTCTCCAAGAGTGGGTGGAGTGAATGATTTGCAGTGAAACAGCTGTAAAAAAGACAATGTTTATGATCATATGCTCTTAAAAATAAAGTGATGCCATACAGTGGATGATGATTAATGGATAAAACCTTTCAGTTTTCAAAAAATGAAGAGTTTAGATGAAAAACCTCTAATTTCCAATTAATATTTTATTTGAAAATTAGCATTTTTCCTGTGTGTGGACTTTTATAGTGATGAATAAGTTATTTTGTTTGCCTTTAAAGTGAATCAACAGAAAATAAATACAGGTTTTTGCATCTGAACTCTTCTAAAATGTATTATGATGTTTAAAAATGTAACTAAGAATCTGAAAATCCTTGTAGCAAACTCGTGTGTGTTTTACCAAGAAAACACCTTGTGTTGATTTACTTTCATTTTTATCATATGATCATTAGTCATTTATATAATTATCATTATATCATTTTATTGATTATTAGTTAATGATTTGATTATTAATATTGATTATTATTTGTAATTTTATTATGTTTTTATATTTTATTATTACTATTTCACTAGTTTACTAATATTGCTTTTTTATTTACTAGCATTGCTAGTTATTGCTTTATTATTATTTCATCCTTCCATGTTGTTATAATCTTATGACTGCGTGCATTCTAGAGACACTTGTTTTCAAGAGTAAGAGATAAGAGAATGTCTTCATTTCAAGGTCTGTATTGTCTTTGCACAATGTTGTGAAGCAGTAATTTTCCATTACTGTTGCTTGTGGTGTAATAACACTTGTTGGATTTATTGAATCATACGCAACTAAGATTATTCAATAAACTCTGCTCTTTCTTTAACATCATTACTTTGTCTCCTGCTTCTGCTCCTCTCTGGCTTTCTCAGTCAACTCCTATGTTGATAGGAAATTGTACTGGTTAACAGGTTTGGGTATTGGGAGGTCCCACTGGCTCGAGAACCTAAAGCAGTGTTAGATTTTATTTATCTGGCATGTAGAATATATTCTAACAATGTAAAGAACTCCACTATATTATAGTGACTTCTTAACATTCAGTAGTTTTGTTAAACATTGCACACACGAAGTTCACGCTTCATTTGGTCGCTACTCTTTTCAGTTTTCTGCTGCTTATGCTTGGAATCATCTGCAGCAGACCCTAAAGCTCAGCACTTTCATTCCACTATCATCTTTTAAAAATTCAATCCAGTCAATAGTACAAGATCACTCAGCTTGTTTTATATGTTATTATCTGCATTTGTGAATTTTTTATTTATTTGTGAACTGATTACGTTGACGGCCAATCACAGCCGTTTCTGTTGAGTATGTGAACACAATGTCAAATCAGCGCTGATCAACATCGCTCAAATGTTAGCGGGAAATTAACGTTTTTAAAATTTCATAACCGATTGGTACTGAATTCCAGTATCATGACAACACTAGGTAAAGGTAATAATCACTAGGTAAAGGTAAGAAAAAGTAACTCAGAAGTAACTCAAAAAGTAGCGCATTACTTTCCACAAAAAGTGGAACTAAGTAGCGCAACTAGTTACTTTTTTGAACATTGCAGTGCATTACTTTCAAAAGAAACTTTCCCCAACATTGCCTATAACGGTTGACTTCTCTTTGTTTTTACTACGATGGAAGTCAATGGTTTCAAGTTTTCCGCTGTCCTCTATATATCTTGTTTAGTGTTCAACAGAAGAAAGGAACTCAAAAAGATTTGGAACTAGCTGAGGATGAATAATCGATGACAGTACTTTAATTGTCGGGTGAAATATCACTTGAATTCTTTTCTGCCAGTGTTTTTTTTTTTATTAAGTTGTCAGCCACTGCCAGCATTTTTGACGATTTTCACTAAAATTTGACAATCCTCAGAATATTTTTGGCTAGGAATATATGACCATATAACCAAAACAATCTCAAGACAGTTTGCAACTTTTTGATTTAGTGGCTAATTCGTATAAATTTGTACGATCTAATTCGTACAATTTAGTATGATTTGTTCATCCCCCAATGACGGTTGGGTTTAGGGGAGTTAGGTGCCACATCTCCTTCTAAAATCGCACAATTTCGTACGATTGAACTTTGTACTAATTTGTACGAATAAGCCACTAAACTTACAAAATGTAAACTTATGTTTTCTCGTGAGATCAGGCTGATATTACATATCAAAATAAAGACCCAACTCTCTGCTTTCATAATCTGTTCATGTTTTATACCCACTTAAATCCAGGTTTTATGAAAAATGTAGAGCATTTTTCTAAAAGTAGTGCATGGAACATTTAATGCCTATTAAGCAGATACTGTTATAGAGCACTAACTATCTCTACAAAACATAAAAAATATATGCAAATTAACTGGAAAATATAAAGCGGTGCACTTAAGAAATAACTTGGTTCTGTTCAAAATCACATTTCATCACATGCACATCTGAGTAATAGGAAAAATACATGCATTATAAACTAAAATGATACTACATTTTCATAAATTTTACATATAAATGTACATTAAATAATTAAATATGCTAATTATTTGCATAGGGATATATATTTTCTATTTGAAGGGCTATCTTGTCTTAATCTGGTTCATGAATACCTGGCCGACTCACTGAACTACTTTGAATGGTTATCTCAGTGTGAGGGAGTAGTGATGTAAATGGACTCATTTTACTGTGAAATGAATGCTGTAGTGATGCAAGGAAAGATGTGATTAGCCCTAGGGCCCTGACTGAGCTCTGCAACTCCTCTGCCTCACACTCACAGGCACACAAAAGAAAAACACTTCTCACTAATTCCTACAATCCATTAGCAAACATATATCACTTGATGATAACAATAGATTAAAAAATCTGTATCAGTAAGTGAAATTATTCCTGTTCTGTCATTTAAAAAACATTAAATTAATGCTTATAAAAGGTATGAAGTTTTAGTTTACAGAATTATGGTTATGTTGCAAAAACATGCCAACAGGCTATGCATCACAGCTTTTTTTTTTTTTTTAAGAGAAAAATAAATCATTTATATGGAAAAAGTTAGGGGTATATTGTTGGGTCAATAAGGCAACAGTATGGCAATAATGACCATTGCTTTTTATTGTAATGTGGAACATTGATAACCGCTATAAATCTTAGTCACTTTACATGACAGAGACATTTTACTTGTTATTATTTAATGCTCTGTTTCGGAGGACTCTTACACTGCAAAAATGCTTTTCTTACTTAGATTTGTTGTTTTGTTTCTTTCTTAAATCAAGAAGATGTTTAAGAAAAACATTCATTCATTTTCTTGTTGGCTTAGTCCCTTTATTAATCGGGGGTCGTCACAGCGGAAAGAACCGCCAACTTATCCAGCAAGTTTTTACGCAGCAGATGCCCTTCCAGCCGCAACCCATCTCTGGGAAACATCCACACACACACATACACTACAGACAATTTAGCCTACCCAATTCACCTGTACCACATGTCTTTGGACTGTGGGGGAAACCGGAGCACCCGGACCACATGTCTTTGGACAGTGGGGGAAACCAGAGCACTCAGAGGAAACCCAGGCGCACGCGGGGAGAACATGCAAACTCCACACAGAAACGCCAACTGACACAGCCAAGGCTTGAACCTGCAACTTTCTTGCTGTGAGGCAACAGCACTACCTACTCTGCCACCGTCCCCCTTTTTTAAAAGCATAACAAGCTTTTTTTTTAAAAAACAAACAAGTTCTCAATATGTAATGTTTCTGTATGCTAGAATGTGCTTGTAGAAGAAACAAGCAGATGAATATATGTAGTCCATCTGTAGGTGGTACAATGGCTGTGCCATCACAAAAGACGAGAGGCATAGAACAGCAATACACTACCTTTTGTTTGGACTCTCACAAAAGTGTATCATGTTCCTGAACATCTGAGAGGGCGCCACATCCTGATACATGTAAAAAAAACAACACATTAAGCTATGATTATGGTTATATATTGTGCTTACAGTATGAACATCTATTAGATTGATGCATTTAGCTAAATCACAACTGATGAGAGTGTACAATTATTTTTGTACTGCAATATCAACAATTTCAATAACCATTTCACACTTTTATCACTCCTCTGTGAATCTGCAGTCAGGGGACATTGCAAGGGCATTCAGCGTTGGTATAGGTGTCTGTGTTAAACTCTATGGATGGGCCTTGTTTTTTCTGATGAGTCAGAAAACCAGAGGCCTGTTAGACAATAACGGCACTAAAGCTCTCTTTTGACACATGTTGCTGATCTGGCAGTCCCTCTGCACATTCGGCAGTAACTGCAGTGACAGCGGCTATATAAACACCTCGCAATGGACCGACCCCTAATGTTAAATACGCCAAATCTCTCCCACGACAGCATGTGAGTATGGGCCGCCGTCAGTGCTGTCAAAATCAACGTCTTAACCTTCACGAAAGTGGAATTAACTTTAAAACAGGATAAACCGCTGCTTGACTGGATGCGTGACTGGACTAGAGGCCTTTGTGAATCTTTTCATGGACTGAAAAGCCACCAATTTCTTGTGGTTATTTCAAATGAATTCATTTTTAACGCACCATTGGAATTGAGGCATTTCAGCCATCGCTGGATTCATGGGGGCCCTATTATTTATGACCAATGCAAAATTTAAATTATTGATGTCCTGTGGTTGAGATATCCTGTAAAGCAGATGGGCGTCAGTTTTTGTAAATATCATGTCTGTCTGTTGTCACAAGCAGACCGAAAGGATCTGTGTTTGTTCTAACGTGACCTAAACCATTATCAACAATCTGATAACCCGTCGCTTGCCTGAGGTCATAGGTTAGGCTGATGTTGATAGTAGTGCTTGTGATCTGTCAGGTGGAGGTGGCAGGTGGTGTTGTATTGTTAACCGTATTCTCTAATGTCGCCGGTAGCTGGAGAGAACAGACAGGCGGCCATCATGAATCAGCGAGAGCAGATGGAGCAGCAGTGCCAGTGGAGGATCACAGTGTGGGAGGAGGAAAACTTCCAGGGCAAGCGCTGTGAGTTTAGGCTGGAGTGCCCCAATATTCTGGACAGGGACTTCCAAAAGATCCGCTCTATCAAGGTGGACAACGGCCCGTAAGTGTGTGTGTGAGCGCATTATAGTACTTTCCTACACTATAAAAATTTTTTATGACCAATAAGTCATGACAGCACATGTTTTTAGTTCATTGTAACTTATTAAACTTAGTTAATTTTGTTCTAACTTAATTTTATAAGTCATGCAAACTGTGTTTAAGTCAGTTTAACATAAGTTTAATGTACACATTAAGTTAATTTGATTCAATTTAAATTTAAGGCAACCATAATTTTTTATAGTGTACTTGATGTATTAGCCGGTGATGTATATATATATATATCCTATATATATATATATATATATATATATATATATATATATATATATATATATATCCTATATGACACATGGTTGAACCTTCAGAGTGCGCCCTTAACATAAATATATAATGTATTTTTTTTAAATGACAAAGCTTAACAGTTTGATAAATAAAATCATCTAAAAAAATAGACAATTAAATTTAGAATAGATTTTGTAGTAGTCAGAAGGCCATGGCGTTTCTTGTATTTACAAGACGGCTTGTAAACATTGAGGGCTTGTTACATTGAGGGCTTGTAAATAACCCATGAAAGAATAAAGTTACGTTAAAACCAAGCACACCATTGTTTTTCTAGTAAAATTCCCAATAAGTTTTATTAAGGTGTCTCCATATAAATGGCCCACCCTGTATACACAAACATAAAATATAATATACCAAACCTTTTTTATTGAAGATAACTTGATTCTTTTTCCTGCAGCTGGGTTGGTTATGAGTACCCAGAGTATCAAGGTCAGCAGTTCATCCTGGAGAAGGGAGATTATCCTTGCTATCAGGCCTGGAGCGGAAACAGCAGCTACCGTACTGAGCACATGCTTTCCTTCAGACCCATCAAATGCGCTGTGAGTCAAACGTGTGAAACATCACAAAACAGACATTAATGTTAAGACTGAATGATATGTAAGATTAAGAAGTATCTGGCCTACAATCTCCTTACTAAAATGTAGTTCAAATATGATTTTAATGCCCTATTTCTGTTTATTTTTACAATACAGATTGTTTGAAAGTTTGAAATCATCTCCACAGACAGTAACAGAATCGATTATACAAGCTTCAGATATAGACCATTTTGAGGGATGTAAACAATAACAAATGTCCCAATGTACAACCTGTTTTACACTTTTAATTTCTATATCTTCCGAGAATCAGAAAGAGCCAAAAATTGATAATGTTATGATAGCTGTTTAAACATTAAGTTATGATTGAAATACCTCTTACTACAGTTATAAAATAGTTTAAAAACAAGCAGGTAATGTTCATCGGACAATGACATGACCACATTGAAATGGTCTATATGAAAAATACTGCTAAAAAATAGCTCTAAAAAGACATTAGTGTCATTATTTTGCTTAGCCAACTTCAATATTGATTCAGTTCAGATCAATATCATTTTTGATTGTTTGGCTTTAGAACTCAGACAATTCAGCAAAATGACTAATAGTTTCTAAACTAATAGTATATTAATATTAATAGTTTGTTATATATCTAAACATGTCTTTTCGTGATTAGTTAGAACGAGAACATAATACATTTAGATACTGACTTGTTACAAATAGGCTACAGTGAAGGACAAATCATAAAATTGCAAATTTGGCTCCATCTAAACACAAACCCATATTTACTACGCTTTTAGAAGTCAATTTACATATAAACGTAAAACAAAGGGGGGCAGAAAAAGGACATAAACCAACTTCAACACAATAAGGCCTCATTGTTCAATCTTGTTTATTAAAATGGCGTCAGGTGTTCATCAACTGTGTAACGTTAGTTAATTGAAAAATGGACATAACACATTCCAATAAACATCTCAAATTATACCTTTTGTCCACCAGAACCACAGTGACAGTAAAATTACCATGTATGAGTGTGAGGACATGATGGGACGCAAGTTTGAGATGTGCGACGACTACCCTTCTCTTATGGCCATGGGCTGGTGCAGTAAGGAGGTTCCTTCTATCAAAGTCAACTCTGGAGCGTAAGTTATCCTCAGTCTGCTTCAAATTACGTTTGTAACATCAAATTACTGCTGTCTACACACAGCATTATCTCAATAATACTGTTTTTTCCCTTCCTCAACCTCGCACATGCGGCAGCTGGGTGGGTTACCAGTTTCCAGGTTACCGTGGATACCAGTATATCTTTGAGAGAGACAGACGTCAGGGAGAGTACAGGAAATATTACGAGTTCGGCACCCAGGCCCACAGCAACCAGATCCAATCAATGCGCAGAATTCAGCACTAACTCCGCCCCCGCTCTTCTCCTATTGGCTACTCTGTATCACGTGACAGTATGATAATTCATGGGACTAAGTAGGCAATAAATGCTTTTCAAACTCCAGACAAAAAGAGTGTGCTTGTCGCCATTCCTTTAATTGACCAAACCAGGAAACGTCAAAACTGGAGTGTTTTTATTTTATAGCAATACAAATAAATGATGACAGCTTATAAGGCTAAATGGCCTTTGTACTTTAAGATTTAACATATTGTTAACAGAGCATTTCACTTCAGATTAGAAAGTTTTAGGTTAGATTCTAGCTTTATTTTATTTTTTAGATTTTTTTTTTCTTAATGTCAATCATAGAATGTACATTGTTGTCCTCGGACTGTATTTATTTTCAATAAACAAAAGCACGAGAAGTTGGTTGTTAAGTGTTTCTGATTTTGCAATTTTACAAATACTGTGTTTTTGCTCCTCATAACGTTTATTTGTGGCGATTGTTATTTGAATATTACATTAAGTTTGGTATAATAAGTTTTAGGCTCGTAAAAACTCGAGAACTATACTCAATAGCGGCAATGCGTTTTTTTTTTTCTTTGTGTTTTTTTACTTTACAAAATTTCCCCTTCATTTAACGTTAAAAATGAAAACTGAGAGGAATTTAGGAAAATATGAAAATGTACCCAATGCCTGACTGAAGCACAGCTACAATGCCTTCAAAACAGCACAACAGAATCAGTTACAAACGTCTAGTTAGTATTTTGATTATCAAGGCGCATTCAAATATTATGAGATTACAATCTGGTTACGCATGAGATGATCAGTAAGCGCCCTCTGCTGGCTCACTTTCGTATTTACAATAAGCGTGCCGCCAAAAGTTGCATTTGCATTTTGCTGTAAAAAAAATGAAATAAATACATAAATGAATAGAAGAGCAAAATAAAAAGTAGGCTTAATCCATATTAAAATATGTTTTATTTAAAAGGTCATGACAATGCCAAATCATTATGCATTTGCATTAAAAAGTGATTAAAATGTATATTTCTAGCTATAATATATGCACTACCGGTCAAAGGTTTGAGATCAGTAAGGTTTTAAAATGTTTTAAAATAAGCTTCTCCTGCTCACCAAGGCTACATTTATTTCATCAAAAATACAGCACAAATTGTAAAATTGTGAAATGTTATTGTACTATAAAATAACTGCTAATTAGCAATTTATCATTTAATTTAATAATTTATTCCAGTTATTTTAAAGATGAATTTTCAGCTTCATTACTCCAGTCTTCAGAGTCACAAGATCCTTCGGAAATCACTCTAATATTAAATATTATTATTGTTATTATTATTAATAATATTATTATTATTAATTTAATATTATTAATGTTAAAGGACTAAGCCAAAAAGAAAATGAATGAATGAATATTATGAATATAATAAAAGCAATAATGATGGAGAATCAATTTTATTTGAAACTACATTCAATAAGAAAGCAGTCATTCAAAAGTTTAATAAGTATTTAACAATTTAACTTTTCTTTTTCATTTAATACATGCTGCCTTGATGAACAGAGCAATTTCCTTTAAAAAAGTAAAAAAAAGCAATAATAAATTACAACGAAACAGAGTAGTAGGCTTTGGGGCTAAACGTTTTTTTTTTCTTCATGTTATTGATTTGCAGGCAGAACAATCTTGTTAATGATGTTCAGTTTTATTTAGTGAATAAATTATTTAATGTTTTTTTTCCAATAATTAAGAAATGAACAATTCCCAAACTTGTGCCTTCATTATATTTTAAAACGTCTCTCCCCATTACAGACTACCGCACGATGGCGCCCTAGCTCTTTGCAAATAAACTTTCTGCATCGTCACACATTTTATATAGAAATCTTTTATCACTTTAATTTTTTACATTTTCTGTAAACACCAGGTATCTGCAGATCAGTCCAGTAGGCAATCTCTATATTTAAAGCACCATAGAATGCTGTTTTAGCCATTTAATTTAATTGTCGGCCTAATGGTGTTGCAGGTTCCTCATTTAAGAAACTATTTCAGTTAGGTCAATGTTGATTTAGTTGGGTTTAATAACAGTGTTGATGTAGCAAATTTGGACAAATTACAGCTCACCAGAGTTGAAATCCACTAGCTTCTTTAAATTCCTATTATTAATATGTAGAACAATCCATTAAAATAACATAATGCATTGTGCAAAATAAAGGATAGTTTTGTGCACGTAGATAAGTGGAAAACGGACACCGGAAGTCTCACACATTCTGTAGACTTTGGTTGAAAATGGCCACGCGTAGTCAAGGTGAGTGTCAATCTTATCAAACACAATAAAAGCACAATAGTAAATGTTTCTATTATTTTTGTTGCTGTTGTCGTTAAATCTTTAGTGACCTAAATGTTGGCTAAACTAGAGTTTACTAACAGTACACCTGAAGTGTAGCAACACTACACCTGCTGCTACGGTAATTATACAAGTCATTAACGTACACAACTCTTTATTAGCAAGAGAGTTTAATCACCCGTAAACAACTCAAATCCCCAGGCCTGTTGGCAGGGGCGTTCGTGTGGTTCCCACCCCTTACTGACAAAGGTTCAGAATTTTTTCCATACACGAGGCCATTTGTCCTATTTTGACTGCTGTGCCATAATAAATTGTGAAAATAAGCATCGAACACGGCTTTAAGACCAAGTGGATTCCTCTTTCGGCTGTTGCTTCAGCCTGACTGAGGGAAGTTGAATGTGCTGACCATAGACTGTGGTGCTGGCCAGTTTGTGTTTCCCTAATAAATGACAATTGGCTAGTTTTTATTTATTTATTTATTTATTTATTTATTTATTTATTTATTTATCGGTGTTTAACAAGACAATACATTAAAGTATACAATACAACATAAGAAAAATTACAGATTGTCTTATTTTTCCTATTTTCCCACTATCCCCTAAAAATTAAATTAATTAAATATATGAATTATAAACAAACATATCCTCTAAAAGAAAAAAAATAAATGAATAATAATAAATAAAAAAATTAATAAAAATTAAAAGAAATTCTTTAAAAATATATAATTATAAAAATAATACACAAGCAACTTTACGATAAATAAAAAAAAAATGAAATGAAAAGTTCACATTAAGGATTCAATATTTCCTCTTTCCAATTATTTACTTTGTATTAGATCTGATATCAACTGAGCAGGGTAAGCCTTTGATATAATCTAAAACAGGGTTCCAGGTCTTGTAAAAAGATTTGAGAGATCCTGCAAGTAAGCATCTTAATTTCTCAAGTTTTATGGAACTAAAGATTTCTCTTTAGAAAAGAGCAGAAAAAGCAATAACCTGGCGAGATGCAACAGTCAAGTCAACTCTCTCTGAAATGCCAAAAAGAGCTGTCAAGGGGTTAGGGTCTAGATTTATGTTAATAGATTTATTAAGTGTGTCAAAAACACTGGACCAGAAATTTTTCAATTGGGGACAACTCCAGAACATATGGAGATGATTGCCAGGAGACTGCTTACAACGATGAAAGGCATCACTTCTATCAGGGAAAAATTTGGCTAATTTGGCATTGGTTAAATGAGCTCTATGGAGCACCTTACACTGCATAAGGCCATGTCTGGCACACAATAGACTAGTTTTTAATTTAAAACTTAAACAGCATTCTTTTTTCTAATGATATATGATTTAATAAATTCGTATTTGAGAAATACGTATTATTCTCATATTTTTGTCTTCTAAATCTTTAGGATCCCTGCTGAAAAAAACAGCTTAAACCAACATAAGCTGGTTGGCTGGTTTTAGCTGGTTGCCTGGTTTTAGAGGGGTTTTGGCCATTTCCAGGCTGGTTTCCAGCTATTTCCAGCCTGGTCTTAGCTGGTCAGGCAGGCAGATGACCAGCTAAAACCAGCTTGACCAGCCTAACCAGGCTGGGAGCCCAGTCAAAGCCAGCTGTGTCTAGCTTAAACCTGGCTGGTCAAGCTGGTTTTAGTTGGTTTTAGCTGGTCATTTTCAGCCTGATCAGCTAAAACCAGGCTGGTCCACCAGCTAAAACCAGCAAACCAGCTTAGGCTGGTTTAAGCAGTTTTTTTCAGTAGGGATATGTTTTTTGTACTTCAAAAAATGTGGTTGATGACTATCTGACAAGCAAATCCAGCAAAAAAATAGAGCTTAAAAAGTATTTAAACCTCATAATTAAAAAGAAAATGAGGCTAATAACTGCAAAAGATCTGTATTTTAAGAAAATAGCTTCTATATCAATCACACAGAATGAGTTTATTTCAGAAAGTAAAGCTGTACACTGTCTCCTGTGAGGATTGGGTTTAGGGGTGGGGTGAGGGCAATACAATATACGTTTTGAACAGTATAAAAATGAATCGAAGCCTATGCAATCTACCCACTTTTCACAAAAACAAACAAATGTGTTTGTGTGTGTGTATGTTATACTGTATATCATTCCTCAGGCCCGTAGCCAGGGGGGTTCAGGAGGTTCGAAAGAACTACCCCCCACTGACAAAGGTCCAGAATTTGTGATTGGTCCAGAATTTTTGCCACTATATTTTCATTTGACCCATTTTGACTGCTGTCATCACAAATTGTTGAAATAACCCATCGAAGGTTTAAGAAAATGCACAATATAACAGAAGTGATGTCAACTTTCACTATTGACCTACTGCTGTTAAAAAAACATTTTACAAGTAGCATAACTTTTATTCAAAATCTTGAATCTTAATCTTAAGAGAAAAATTGACTACTGAAAAGGTCTGAAGCACCAAAAGCAGCCTAATAAAGTTAATATTAATTCTAATTAGGCTGTGTATAAAAATCCCAAATCAAACAAAGTTCTCAGGGGTAGCTCATATAATGTGTCGGTGCTCTTTGTACAAGAAATAAACACCAATTTGTACAACAATATCAGAATAAACACAAAAATCAGTCCAAGGCACTCAAAAATGTGCTACATCAGGTTACCCTTATCAAGTCAAGTGTTATCTAAACGGGTAGGCACAGTTTTAAGAAATAGCCATGTCAGTAAAGGCTTTTTATAAAAAAAAAATTCACATTTTTTGAGTGCCTTAGACTGACTTTTGCTGTTTAGACTAATTAGTCTGTTGTTGTCAGGGGAATTTTCAAGAGAGGCTAAAATCAAATCGTACAGCTCTTTTTTTAAATGTTTGTTTATTATAAATCTTTATGAAATATTTTGGTACATCAAAAATGGAGGATACAACAAACTAATCCAGCTAAAACTAGTGCTTAAAATACCACTTATTGGAGTATTTAAACATCATAATTATCTAGAGAATGAGGTAAATAACTGCAAAAAAAGTCTAAATTTTGAGAAAAAAAGAACCACCCCTTTCACCATGCTGGCTACAGGCCTGTTCCTACTATGCACCACCCTCCTAAACAC